ATTCTGCTTTAAAAGGGGAGAGCGAAACGAATAAAGTTGAGGAAAGTCGGAAATTCTGGAACTGACACTTGAGAAACATGTCTTTATAGAAAAACATTTTCTTTCAATTCTTTGAAAAAATATAGAAAAACTGAAACCGCTTTTTGAATGTTTCCGTATACCAAATATATTGAAGAAAATGTGGATGAAATCGTTTAAAAAATTAAATTGACTATAAACTGTCTTGGAATTGCTTTGAAAAGTATAAAAGCTTTACTTTCAAATTAGCTAATAGTGATAATGAAGAGCCATTTTTTGAGCTACTGATCTGTACTCTGAAAAACTCATTGAGAAAAAATCCTGAAAAAATATTTTCAGAAAGAATGTTCTGTTAAAACATTACAATTTGATATTTACATGATGAGGCAAAATAACTTAAAGTACTTTGGTGATGTTTACCTGTTCCATAAGTTAAGCTCAGAATCAAATAAAAAGGTCAGTATAAATCAGGCAGAAATCAGTTAAAATTATTGCAAAAGGAGTCCGGTCTTAGTTTAATACGCGGGCTTATAACTATGTTAAATTATAGTTAGCGCGTGTAACTGAATACCTTGATAAGATTTGAGTTCGAAAGCAGATTCAGAATGCAAATCAGGTGGAAACGGAACATAAAGGGGTGAAAGTTAGCTCCTTATACTCATAGTCGCTTCACTCTGCTTGGGAGTGGAAACAGGATGAAAAAATAGAATAGGATGAATTCACTACAAAATCATCCAACTTCAGCAAAATAAAAATCCGTCTGGCTGTTTTAAATATATTTTTATTAGATTATTTACTTATCAATAATTGTTAATTAATTATTTATGATTTAAAATTTTTAAAACACACGCAGAACAATTAATTCAAGAACCGCTCATACCATTATTATGACTTGAAAGTTTTATTCCAGCAAAAAACTTTAGCTTATACGCCTATTAGGGACACATTAAAAAGTTTTCAATTAAAATCGTATTTTGAAACTTATATTTACGAAATACATAATAAACTCTATAATGAATCGACTGAATATTTGCCGTCTGTATTTAGGAACAGCTAATTAAAACTTAAACAACTAACGCAGGTATATACCTACTTTACCTAAACCCTCCAATTAATGTCACGTGTAGGAACTGTGGGGGAGTTTATTGTGCAAAATTGTTGTTAATTACACAGTTTTGACTACAAGAAGGAGTTAAAATATAGATATAAGGGATGTGTTTTAATTATTTGGGGAAAGTTGAAGTTCGAGTCTTCTAAACATATCATATGTTTGTTGTTTACCAGATTTGGGAGATAAAGTTGATACAAAACAACCGATGTTACTACACAAATAATATGATTTATTTCACTTTAAAGCAACTTTTATATATCTTTTTAAAACCAATTAATTGAGCTGTAGGCTAAAGTAATTTCTTGGATTGGATCTTCTAATGGTCTTTCGATATTTCATCAACTAAATTGGACAATAAAAATAACTTGTTAAAGGCAAATTTATGCATTTTATCATCTTGGCCTGCGTTTCGGTTTTCAAAACGTATCAAAAATGCACTTATATTTTTTTATAACAAATGCGCATTTTGGTAAGCTAAAGCTATACAAAACTGAACAAAAATTCATAAAAGATTTTCAGCTCGTGTCCATGCCATACATCAATGTGTCGCAACTATTTGCTATTTTATGCAAATGCCAAACAAAGGAAACTAGCTAAAAGCCAGTCGGTTTATTTGTCTTCGCATTTGGATTATTTCCTTAATAAATCGCACGTGGCTGAAATTAACACGTTTCCGTCATTTAAGGGATATTTCCCCTATTTTATCTCATGTTAGGTACTTAGAGAGAGCAGGACGGGATGGTGACATGTTGTTTTCGATATCAAGACGGAAATAAAATAGCTGGTTCGCACGAGAGGCAAAAGTTTCACTCAAATGGTATGTCGAATATATCAGGGGTCTACAAAGAAAAAGAGTGTTTCGTGATTAATCGTCCATAATTTCCATAAAAATCATTTTTTTAGTAACCTGGCTCTAAATTATTTGCCTGCGTCATTTGGAAGGAGCTTTTCCTATTTTTTGTTATGAATATTGAGTCACTTATGGTTGAACATTTTGGCTTGACTTTACTACTTAAAAGCGTAGATGTTTTCCAATTTGGAAACTGAATTCTGAAATAGTTATATCGATTTTGTCTTCTAAACTTTTTATGCTTTTCATGCTTTTCCAGCAAATGATTTTTTTTTAGTCGGTTATTTAAAGCAAGATTTCATAAAAAGTTTGGACTGGTATATGCAATTAAGACTCCACCATAAAATATTCATATTATATAATTCCAATATGCATTTTAACTCTAACGACTGTTTATTAACTAGTTCTTGTACATTTGAGCAATATTATTAAATCCCAATTATAACTTATGAATAAAACAGCTAGAAACTATTTAAATTACAGTGAAACTTCCTCGATTGAAACTTTAAATTGTGAGGAGCCCAACTTACGGTTCAAAAAGTTGGTGTGTTTGTAAGTTATATGAGAGTTGCTCAAAAGAATATTTTCAGGTCGCCGTCTTAATTACCTTTTAAGAACCGTTTAACTGGAACTCAATACTCAAGTTCTAAAGATTTCTATTAAAATGATGCCGATGAAAAGCTGTTTGGTTTATTTCAGTAATTTTTCGGATTATTTTTGACGAAAACTTTAATAACTTTGAATGGATGTATATTAAAGATGCTACGTGCTCCAAACTTTTCCTGCGATTTTCTGACTCGTTTACCGATGGAAACTTTATTTTTTACACCTATTAATGCTGAAGAAGTATGCTTTAATTAAAAAGTGCATTTAATTTAAGACTGGCGATTGCTTTTTTGTCTCAGTTTTTTTCGAGAATAATATTTATCAATTCATGAAAACTTTAAACTTTCGTATTGTTAAGTTACGTAGGTCTAATGCTCAAAAGTTTCTGGGTTTAAAATGTCCTGGCAAGTTGCAGGGATTTATGCAGTTTTACGTTGGTCGAATGATTCAGTTCAGATTCTTACCTATTATTTTCAAGTTCAAAATTGAGGCTTCAGTGCAAGTTTGCGCTTATTGCACCCTTTAGATGTGTTCATATACCTGACGAACCTGGATAAATGTGACTATTTATTTAAGTGAAATTGATAACTGTAAACCTATTTAATTGCAAGAAATTTGCCTAGTTTAGCTTAAGAGTTGACACTGAACGCTCCTATATTTACTAACAACTTAGTCATATTTCTGTGAACTAAATTGACACACTGATGCGCTTGAAAAAACTAGGGAAATTTCAGAGTTTATGATTCGGTTAAATTTAGCCAAGGAAATGTATATATACGAGTCACTCTAATACTAGATATCCTATACTTCTATTCATTATAGACTTCTGTACAGAAGGAAATTCTGCTTTTCTTGCCAGTTGCGATATTTTCATTATCAATGTATCTTCAATATTATTTATAAGTTCTATATTGTTGAGGCGGATTCATTTTTTTACAAACTTCTTGGTGAGTATTTCGCCTCAAAAATGTTTGTCTTTAAAAAAGACAGAATTTCCTCACGTCTTTTATTGCAGATCGATAAATAGTGCTCCTATTTCGCAATAAGAACGAATTATTTATCAAAAAGAAATCAAGAACTATCACCTAGTAGATGGTATTCTGCGACACACTTAGGCCCAAGCTGCAAGAGAAAATTCCAATTAGAAAAGAAATTAATTTGAAACAATAGTAGAATAATACAGGATATGAAAATTCGCTCTGATAATTCGTCTGTGCAAATTATCAGAGCGAATTTTCATATACTGTATCATCCTACTATTGTTACACAATTTATTAACATACTCTTTTTTAAGTTCATTTAGGTTCTTTTGATAACGATAGCAGAATCAAAACGTCAAGGTAATTTTTCAAATTAATTTCTTTACTAATTGGAATTTTCTCTTACAGCTTGAGCCAAGTGTGTCGCAGGATACCTTCTAGGTAATAGTTCCTGATTACTTTTTGATAAATAATTTGTTCTTATTGCGAAATAGGAGCACTATTTATCAATCTGTAATAAAAGACGTGAGGAAATTCTGTCTTTTTTAAAGACAAACATTTTTGAGGCGAAATACCCAACAAGAAGTTTGTAAAAAAATGCAATATTATTATTAACATGAATTGCCTAAATATTACTATTATTCTTCTGCTTTCTTTCTAATATACATATTAGTACGATACATATTAGTAGACTATTGCTTGTTCATTTCCAACACGTCCTCCCCGGAGGTTGAGATCCAGCATTCTCTACAGCGCTTTGGTGTCCATGTGGTCTCCTTCCCACTGAATTGTTCATTTTTGCGTTTTTGACGAGTCTGCTGTCCTGCATTCTTTCTACATGTTTGTTCCAGAATCTTCTTCTCCGTCTCACCCACCTCCCTAAGTCCTGTATCTTGCATTGCATTCTGATGTTCTCACTACCGTTGACGTCCACCCTGTCGTATAGAATTTTGCCTTGTATGCTCCTAAAGGTCATTTCAACTCTTCTCATCATTTGTAGAGTTCCGCTTGGAATTTGGTCTTGATTCTGCTGCGTACGTTATTATAGGTCTTATTGCCGTTTTATATATTTTGAATTTGCTTTCCGTACTTAGGTATTGCTTTTTCCAAACAATTTCTCGCAAACATCCCGAAATTCGAGCCGCTTTCATTGTTGGCTCTCTTACTTTGAAATGTAGACTTCTATGGCTCGTCATCTCTGCTATTATAATAATTATAATGGTTTACTTGTTAGACGATCTTGGAGTCAACTTCCAGCTTGCAGCTTATAGGTTCCTTTGATATTGCCAGACATTTGGTCTGCTCGGTGTTGATGAGCATAGTTAGTTCCTTTGCTTGGGCGTTAAAAGAGTGTAGTCTTTGGCAGTCGTCTTCGGAATCTGCATTAAATGCCGCGTCGTCAGCGTAGCCTACGCTAAAAACACCACAGTTGACCAAAAAACTAATTTTTTCTTTCTATGTAATTAATATAAGCAATTAAAACCTGTATAATTCAAATCATTCTTGTAACGCGCCGTCATTGGCTGGGACTAGTTGTGACGTCAAGCGGCTCGTGGCCGCGCCGGCTGCAAAACGTTTCTATATAGTATTAGAAGAAAAAGAAAATTTTTCAAAATGACTAGCGCAGGTTTTGTAAAAGAACAATCTGACATTTTACCACTAGTGGACATGTTTATGGTGGCATCTTAAAATAAGAACACCGAAAGTTTGACTCTTGCTGAAGTTCGCGGTGTTAAAGTAAACAGGTAGATTTATAGACAAAATAGTCAATAGTTTTACTTATATAAATCGATAAAATGTTAGATTGGGGTTCTAATGGCTCTAATTTTCAAAATTCAAACAGTACCTATGAATCAAAATGTAAGTGATTCAACAAAAAATCAGAAAATATTGTTTCCATCCTAATAAAAACTAAACATCATAAACAGTGATTTGGTATTGATGAAAACCAGGGCATTAATGATTAAATATATCATTATTTACAAATAATAACAAAGGTAAGTACAAAAAAACATTATTTAACGATCGGAAAGGTAGTCTTATGGAGACTCTGCAGTAGGATGGATGAAAGTTACAAGTACATTGGCCTTCATTTTTTTCACCTTGAATTTAACATAGTTATCCATATCTTCTTCCAGCTAGAATAAATAAATAGTATTAAAGTTACATAAAAATATGTGTTAATATTCATATTGCATGACAAAAATAGTAGGTGTTTAACGTAAATACACGACGATAAAACGAGATTTTTTCTTCGCATATACTTATTGTTTCTTTTTATCGTCCAGTATAGAATTTGGATTCTAGATGTAAAAACTTTAACTGGTTTAAAAAAAAACCTTTATTTTACAACCCAAAAATTTATTTTTTGGCATCGAGTTGTTACTGCCTTAACTACTAACTTAGGACTAATTTTTACATGTGGAATGCGCAGCTTATTTATCTTTTTAGTGCTCCACCGACTGTTCTTGGTTAAAATACATAGTGGTCTGCGTAAGTGGTCATATATGGAGAATGGCGGAAGTAGTATTCATTCCAAAACCAGGGCGGGCGACGTATGCCCAGGCCAAATCCGTTCGCCCGATCAGCCTAACATCATTAGTACTCAAAACACTAGAAAAGCTGATCGACAGACATATCAGGAAAGAGGTTCTTACTAGAAGTACTCTACACCACAACCAATATGCCTACCAAATGGGAAAATCCTGCGAATCTGCTATCCACGAGTTGGTGCAGAGGGCACAAACCTCATTAGAGCGTAAAGAAATTGCTCTGGCGGCATTTCTGGACATAGAGGGAGCCTTTGACAATACCTCTTTTCAGTCAATCGTCAGAGCGGTGAAAAATCGTGGAGTGGAGCCTATAATATGCAAATGGATCCAAAACATGCTGAGTTGCAGAACGGTTACTGTCGCACTCAATGAAGTCAGCATGGAAGCACGGGTAGCCGGCGGGTGTCCGCAGGGAGGAGTTTTGTCGCCTTTGCTGTGGAGCCTGATGGTGGACCGGCTCCTGTCGTCACTTGAGGGAAAAGGTTTCTACGCACTGGGATATGTGGATGATATCTCCATTGTTGTACAGGGAAAGTTTGGAGACACTGTATCATCATTGATGCAGCAGGCGCTAAACATCACCGAACAAGACATCTATAATCGCTTTCACAAGGAAGAGAGATCTTAGAGCCCTAAGACAAATGTCTATATACGGGAACAATATTCACATGTCTGACACTGTCAAATATCTTGGGGTAACCCTGGATAAGAAGCTGTTGTTTAAAGAACATGTGGAACAGAAAACAAACAAGCCGATCAGGGCTTTATGGACCTGCAAACGCACTTTTGCAAAAACATGGGGAATTTCACCGAAGATGGTGTACTGGACGTACGTCACCATTGTGAAACCCATAATCACATATTCCGCCGTCATATGGTGGCAT